GTAGGACCAGCTCACAGTGGTTGTTGGCGTCATAGCACACACACACACACACACAGACACACACACTCACACACACACACACACACACACACACACACACACACACTGATGTACTCACTGGGTAGAGACTCCATCCCTGATGTTATCATGACACATGTACTGTAGGACCAGCTCACAGTGGTTGTTGGTGTCATGGCACGAGTGCTGGTTCGTCCTGACAGAAAACAAACACACATACACACAGTTATTTTTAGTTTTAGTAAGAGTTTTACGGCACTTGCAACACAATAAGGTCAAATAAGTGCAGAAGATTAGAGGTGTTACAAGAAAGTAAAAAGTACAAAAAAGAAGGAGGGGAGATAATGATGATATATGTTTTTAGTTTTAGCAGAGTTTTTACGCGCTCGCAACTGCATAAGGTCATATGTGCGCCAAGTGGTGGATGTCAACAGAGACGTCTTTACAGGGAATCAGACTTGCTCTTCTCTGCTCACATCTCTAGCTTCAAAAGCACAAAGTCTGCTTTGACTATCAAGGCACTCCGGAAATAGCGGGTCACAAGAGAGTGACAAACATGAAAAAGAAGTAGAAAAAAGTGACGATAGCAAGGAGGAGGAAAGAAAAGGCAGCAGTTCCCCCTATGTTGTTCTGGCACAGTATGAGCTTGACATTGATAAATCAGCCCATTTACAAATCTATTGTGCATAAGATCATGTTAATATCCATCCTTTGGGAATGGCCTAAAGACACTTCAGTCAGTAGCACTGCCCGGGGGGGGGGGGGGATTAAAGAAGTCGAACTTAAGTATGAGTAAAGAGAAAGACACAAATACAATAATGGTTACTTAAATAGTTTTAGTAGAGGTTTTACGGCGCTTGCAAATGCACAAGGTCATAAGAGCACAAGAAGATTAGAGGTGTTGCAAGAGAGTAACAAACATAAAAAAAAGGAGAAGGGGAGATAAGGACGATATATTATGTTTGATAGGAAAGAAGATGCAAACCACACCAGAGCACCCGCCAACCACTCACTTACCATTCTACGGACAGTGTTGAGCCCTGGTAGTAAAACAAAGAGCCCACGTTGTAACCTCCTCTCTCGTTGTTCTGGGAGTCGAAAATGCTGAAAAAGAAGGAACATTGTTTTGGTGGGAGTCATAAATGCTGAAAAAGAAGGAACATTGTTTTGGTGGGAGTCAAAAATGCTGAAAAAGAAGGAACATTGTTATGGTGGGAGTCAAAAATGCTGAAAAAGAAGGAACATTGTTTGGGAGTCGAAAATGCTGAAAAAAGAAGGAACATTGTTTTGGTGGGAGTCAAAAATGCTGAAAAAAGAAGGAACATTGTTTGGGAGTCGAAAATGCTGAAAAAAGAAGGAACATTGTTTTGGTGGGAGTCAAAAATGCTGAAAAAAGAAGGAACATTGTTTGGGAGTCGAAAATGCTGAAAAAAGAAG